AATTTATTTAATACACGAGTTTCACAATTTGAGTTGAATTACTGAAATAAATGAACTTTTCCACGACATTCTAATTTATTGAGATGCACCTGTACATGATTACATATTGTTCACACAAACGTAGTAAATTATTTATAATTTATTGACTCTCCCTAATTATTTTTTTCTCTTTTGAAATGTACTTTCTAGAAAACCCTACTGTGTTTAATAGCATTTAGCTTTGACTATATTAACAATATAGAATGGCCATTTAAATGGAATGTAAATAAATTGGTGATCCATGCTTCTAAAATTGGGGACAAAAGCACCTCTCAATGAGTTAGGCCATGTATGTGATGGATAATTATGCAAGTTATTAACACTGCTGATATATAGCTGTGAAACACTATATCTCCATCATATCCAATGACTTTTACTAATTATTGATTTGGACAAATGTCTGGACAAAAATATAAAAGTAAATAACATAAAAATCTAAAAGTAATCAAACAGTAGTCAGAATACATGACCTAAAATGAGTAATCTAACAAATTACATTACTAACTACATTTTTTTGTCATGTAATTTGTAATCAGTAACTCACTACAATTTGCCAGCACTGCCTATAATTTTCAGATTACATGACTGAAAATAGCCAAGTCACTATTTTCAATCCCAAATGTATATTCTGCAACAAAAAAGACACAGGAATGAGTTCAGAATGAGATCTACCGACACAAAAGGTGCTGATTCTAATGACTCTGTGAATCATTTTTTAACCAGTTCATCACAATGAATGGAAAACAAGTGTTTTTTCCACAGCTAAGCTAATGTCATGTTACTGAAAATGTAGTGATGTTACTGTAGCAGCACCCCTAGTCTTACCTAGTTGCTTCCCAGTAGCTACTGTATTTCACAATGTACTGCAGGCCAGGTAAACGTGATGTGTTCAATACTGCCCAGTCCTCACCAATACCCACACGTTCTTATTACCAACTCCAGACCTCAATCAACAGTTAATTCATTCTCATAAACGCACCTTCAAAAGTTCCTAAACTAAGCACACACAAAATTCAACACCTGCAGGCTTGACATTTGAAATACAGTGCGTAACCACATCCGCTGTGTTTCAATCCAATGCCACCCAAGAGCGCTATCCTTCAAGCATTCTGAGATTGATAATAGTGTCGACTTACGTTGGTGGTCTTTTTGTAGTAGTCAATGTTGTGCACATCTCTAGCCAGGCCGAAGTCTGCAATCTTCATCACGTTGTCCTCGGTTACCAGAACATTCCGAGCCGCAAGATCCCTATGGATACACTGGCAACACAAACAGAAAGAGGGCCATCTTTTATGCTCAAGTCTGATAAATACACACTATGATGTACACATCTGGAAAATAATAACTGGCATCCGTAGACAGCATTTATAAACTTTATAAACAATTCAAGCATATTAAATTATTTCTATTTGAAAAAGTTTACAAACTGAGATAAGTAGATGTGTTACCTTCTTTGAGGCCAGGTACTCCATACCCCTGGCGACTTGATAGGCGCAGGACACCAGATCTTTAAATGTCAGAGTTTCATTTGGGATTTTACAAGTGTCAAACGAGTAGTCCATCCCAGGAGGCCTTCTCGCCCGCAAGTATTCCCTAAGATTTCCTTTAAAGGCATATTCCACCAGCACATACAGAGGACCTGTGTGAGCGCAGTCAGAAACAATTCAGTCAGAAAAATCTAAACTGACAAAAGCTAAACATACTGGAAAAAAAGCCTGTATACTGCATACTGACCATCTTGTGTGCACGCTCCCAGCAAGTTGATGATGTTCTTGTGTTTTCCAATCATCTTCATCATTTCCATTTCAGACACAAGGTCCGAGAGGTCCTTATCTGTACCGTCATCTAAGAAAACAGTAAAATATTATTACAATTTATAAGAAAGTTTTCTGTTGTAATATATTTTCAAATGTAATTTATTCCTGTGGTGGCAAAGCTGAATTTTCAGCATCATTACTCCAGTCTTTAGTGCCACATGATCCTTCAAAAATCATTCTAATATGCTGATTTGGTGCTGCAGTAACATTTCTTATTATTATCCATGTTGAAAACAGTTGTGCTGCTTAATATTTCTGTTGTTTTTGTTTTAAATTTTTTCAGATTATTTGATGAATAGAAAGTTCAAAAGAACAGCATTTATGTGAAATATAAATCTTTTTCAGAAAAATGTTTCTGACCCCAACATTTTGAATGGGAGGATATATTATTAGTATATTAGTATTTATTATTTAATTACAGTTAAGCACACTCACTGTATTTATGAGATTTTTTGTGCACTGGGACTAATGTTTCTTTTATGTTTTTTGGCATTCAGTAAAAAAAATATATAAGTGACGTGACATGTGGCCGAGTATGTGTCACCATTAGTGCTATGCATTTATCCCATCCAAAGTGCACACACACAGCAGGGCCACGACCCCATAATTTATACCATCTGGAATTTAATTTATACACACTCACCTTTGAGCATCTTGACAGCAACAGTGAGAGGTTTGTTGGGTTTCTCTTTGTTAATCCCAATGGCTTCAGCCATCACTACCTGCCCAAAGCAACCCTCTCCCAATGGTTTTCCCAGCGTTAGTCTACAACAGAATCACCAATCAGCAAGGGACAAAACTCACAAATATTATGGTCATTTGATGTTCACTTCAGCTTGTAACTCACTTAGTACGTGGAAACTCCCACTTGGGGTCAGAGGGCAGTTCAAGTTCAGAAACGTTGGGCAGCATGGGCCCATCACCGGATGACAGGCGGGCAATCCGGACCAACGGGGTGTTTGAATTCATGGAAGAGTTAGATTCCAAGGACACCTGCTTGGGTAAAGAATAAAAACAGCATGTTATTGTCCCTGAAAGAGAATAAGACCGTGAAAATAAGAGCAAGACAGAGAGAGGAAGGATCAAGATGTCTATTTTAAGAATATCATCTACTCTGAAGTGTTGTGTGTTGCAGACAGAAACATGGTGTCTGTTCCTCAGAGGAGTGCTTCTGAGAGAGAGGAGCAACATTTCAGTGCTGCCGTGCACACATAGCTATCATCTGGAGTTTTGCTGTTGTCTTGTATCCAAAAATTGCTTGGGAGCCACCAGCTCAACTGGCTCTCTTTTTTTCTTTCTTCCAACTAACATCAACGGCATCATCATAATGTAATATTTTCATCCCAAACTGTGGTTTCTCTCCAGCACTGATTTGCATCTTTTTAGCCATCCATAACTGTCTTTGCACAAGAATCAACACACAAAGTGTGCTGAATGTCATGACAACGGCATGTTTGCCTTAACTTGAGCACTATTCTTTTAGTTCCTTGCGAGCACTGCTATTTCCTTTAGGAAATGCAAATCTGTGTAGCCTTTCATGAGACACTGATAAAGCATGTCAGCGGTAGGAAGATCAAACTGTCTGACAATGATATCTCAATATTTTCTAAAATCAGAACTAGCTCAAAATACACACCTACACACACACACTATTTGAATGAAAGAAACAAAAAAACACTGCAACGTGATTATGTAGCTTGCGTTGATTCCAGTGTGACATTGTCAGGCTTTGATTGCTGGAAATAACTTGAGGGAAAAAGAAGAAGAGATTGAGAGAGCGACAGAGATTAGAGAGAGATAGTGTATGTCAGCTGCAGCTGCTGCGATTTAAAATGTTTAAAACAACTGAGAGAGAGAGCGAGTTTCACCACGAGAGAAACATGATATAAACACTGGCAGTCTCCAGGAGAGCATGAATATCCCTCTGCCACATCACATCTATGACATCCACACAGTATGTCTTCATCGACACCAATAGCCCAAAGACATAGTACAACAGCTTCACATTAAAGAGAGAAAGAAGATAGGAAATAGGCTGATCAAATCTTGTATCTACTTTCTGTTACCTGTCTCTTGAGGGGGAATTTGGACAGTTTTTGAACGGGCGGTGTGGGGAGAGTCTTCTGCGTGTTCATCCTCATATGGCAGAGGATAATGATGACCATGGTGAGGATGAAGAGCACGCAGCCTGTCACGTAGATGAGGATGTCCGCATAGTCATCCTCTCTCTTCATCTCTACCGCTGACACAGAGCACAAGAGCACAGATTAGACGTGCGGTGATGACATTATGAGACAAATGTACCAATGTGTTGCACTATACATGAAACAATGACTGTTGTGAATGGTAGTACGTCTGAATTACATTCATACAACACACCATACTATTTAGAACATACTTTCTAAACGGCTGCGAATTAAGTTCTTATTTAAAAGAAGTACCTACTCAGAAATATGTGAATTTCAGACACAACGATTGATTAAAATGTTTTAAAATGGCTCACTTTTCTATTAGTGTTGTCTATTGTCAAGGTTCGAGCGCTTAACAAGTGCCAAATGCAAGTAATATTTGATGAGCTTTGCTTTGATGAGAAAATAACTGCAACTGCAACATAATATAATACATCAAAGTGTGATAATGTCTGATGTAAGCAACACAAATGATTCAAAGACATACAAACCATCTTCAAACAACTTTTCCTCAGTGCAAAATCTGCCTAAAAGTCTCGAGAACTAAATGTGGCAAGACACATGTGGAATATAAAATTAGAGGAACAAAATCTGCTGAGGGGCAATTAGAAATATTTTTTGGCCAGTAAATTTTCTCTAAATGTTCATCCACCTATGTGGCAAAAGGTTCATTTTGGACCCTGTTTATTTCTAATACACATGACCACAAAATTCAGTTTATCAACTTGAATAAAACATGAAACCCAACTTAAATCGGCTACTAACTACAGCCTCGAGACTTTCAATTAAAAAGAGAGTAACTTTAGAAATAAGCCCCACTAATGGTTAGATTAGAGATCATGTTATTGTTTTGTTCAAAGTTATAAAGCAGAAAGTCTGCAGTTAATTTACAGCCAACTTACAAACTAATTAACATGCTATCGCGCCCCCATGCAGGTACAAACATCCCATAATGCCCCTCTCTCCGGGGGGCTTATTTGGCACTTGTGTGATGAGCCCCACAGATAGAGTTCAGTGGCTCTACACGAGACGAGCGATTTTAATTACAGCAGCAGAACGGAGAGCAGGATAACAGGATGAGCGCAGAGGATGTAAGAATTAATGAATCAGGCCACCCCAGATACTGGGACTGTGTGCCATCAGTAAATACTCCAGTAAACACGACAAGCACTTCCATCACGAGCGCGTGTGTTATCGAGTGGAAACAGTCTATGAGAAAAACCCATCATCCGTCTTTTTTCTCTGCATATGTCATGTTCAAATCTGAAAACAATTACAAACTACCGGGTTGTTTTTCAGAAGACTTTAGTCAGGGTGGCATATTTAATTTGACGTGAATAAAAACGAGACTGCCGTCTGCCCTGGCTAAGGTCCATAGAGAATATAATTGAAAACATTTCAAAAACATTTGAACTGCAAAACTATGAACATTCAAGGACAACAGAGAAAATAGGAAGTGTGGAGACATGGGAAGAAAAGGAGTGAAGAGAAACCCCAGAAAGTGAGACTAGTATACCTGGTAACACTGTAAGCCAGGCAGAGTGATGGTTATAGCCAATCGAGTTCCCTGCCAGACAAGTGTATTGCCCCGCATCCTCAAAAGACACATTGGTCAGGTAGAGAATCTCCAGCTCTTTATCCGTAGTATTTATTCCCGCAGTCTGGAAAAGCAGGGAGAGATGGAGAGAGAGAAAGACAGATGCATAAACCACAACCCTTGGGAAAAGAGCAGACCCGACACCGGGAGGAAGATCTGAACGAGAGTTAACCCATCACCAGTAACCCAGAAATCCCACAATCCTGCACATGAAGAGATGACCTAGAAGCAAAGTAAAACCCCAAACTCTGGTGGAAAATTCAACGCCCCATCAGTAGCAGCAGATCACATTCGTTTTCATCCAGATCTGTTTGAGGTGCAAAGAAAAAGAGCGGGGAAGAATATTACCAGCTTTAAGCCTAATGTAACCTCTCACTAGATACTAGAAACTGACCTATTTATGTAGAAGTGTGTGTCCCAATACTTGAGAGAGCTGTGTGTAGTGTATGAGAAAATCAATAAGAAAGTGCGTGTGGCACAGTCTCGGCTCCTATTAAACATGCTCTTGTTGCATTGATTGGGGAAGAAGAAGCAGCGAGCATTTAAACGAAGCAGACACACGCCTTACATAAGTCCTTGAATCAGGTCACCTTATTTATTGTGTGAAAAAGGGACGAGAAGAGCAGGGAGAAACAGAGGGAGTTTAGGGGAGTTTGACTCTACGCCACCAAAGTCTTGATTGACAAATCAAGTTTGGAAAGTTTGGAAAGAGATTTTTACCTGGCTGGGACACCATGAGCCAGAACGTATTCTCTGACATGCCTACAAAGTTGTGGGCTCTGCAGCAGTACTGGCCTGCATCTTTTTCTGACACATTATACAGAGTCAGCATATCGTGGGCCTCTTTTACCTTACTGACAAAACTCTGCAGAGACACACACACACACACTTAGTCAGAGGCGAACACGTTCACACATGAACAAACACTTAATGATTTAAAATGCTCCCGCAGCTTGTTCTACCTCTTTTTCAAGATGCTGATACACTTAGGGGCAAATTCACAAAACAGTTGCGCCACTCTGGTATTTTAGTGCAAAAACCTAGTAACCTCCCAAAATCCAGTTTAACCAGGCATTATCTGCACTAGTACAGGAAGTTGAACAGTACTTGAATTTGAACTTAAAAGACTTAAAATAAAATGTACTAAATACATTTACATAAAAAAAATAAGTTTTTTAATTAATTATAAATGTAATTTTTTTTAATCTACTTCCTTAAAGTCAAATTCAAATTTCAATTAGAATTCCTGTTTGCTACCTCAATTCAAATGCACAAACTCAACCGAACCAAAACCGAATTTGTTTCTGAATGGCATTTATCACTGTACATCATTAAAATTTAAATGAACTCATTGTCATTCTTTTCAGGTCAAACATCTTCCTTCCAATTATGCTTCTTATAGGTTGTGGCTTATTCACAAAACATAGAGCAATTAATGTTACTCTATTATCAACGAAGCAGCAAAATGTTGTGCTGTTAACATATTTGCATAATTCCTTATAATCAGGTAACTAAACCAACACAGACAGTGCATGCAAATACACAACACTCTCAGCGGATGCAAACTGCAACCCATGAAGATTTACTGTATATGTGCAATTTGCTCTTTATTTAAAAAACTAAAAATTACGGGATAAGAACATGCAGGAACGAGCTTGGGAAATGTTGCGAGCTGGATTCAAACTGATTCCACCTGTATTGGTGCCACAGCTCAACAAGCTAACTGCTAGGCCATTGCTCTGATGTCACTATATGCTATAACTACATGCTCAAATATCATCTTCAGTCCCACACATATCTGCTTCTGTGTTTCTTTCAGATGCTTCATTTGCTTTATTCTCAGTTTCCGTTCTTTCCCTTGATCGCAGGCGTTGCGCCACACATGATCTGTCGCTCAGCACTCTCGGTCTGGGAGGGCTGGGGAAGGCTTAGTTTAGAGGGTGCGCAGATGAGACTGCGGGGAAGGGAAAAGCCGGCGCGCGGCTCCCAGTAAAATACTGTTTCAATTATGTGGGAGTCTAAAATAGCGTGGCGGTCTGGCCAGCCGACGCACTCCCCTCCTCTGCCTGCTGACTCGGCCCTTCCCTCGCTTCCCGCACTCATTTTTTCCATGGCTTTTTCGGGAGCCTCTTCCCTTGTTCCCTCCCTCCTTCTCCTCTGAAGAGTGAGTGGGGCAGCACAGCTAATGGCTGTCTCCCTGCGCGACGCCACCGCGGCGGTTAGCTTAGCCTAAAACAGATGTCTGCCTCCTCTCTCACTCCTCTGAGAGGAAAAAGAGTGAGAGACCCCTAATTCTCCATTTGCAGAGTCTATAGTGAGATGCTAACACGGGTGGGATTAGGAGTCGAGGGAGGTGCTCTAAGAGTCACATGAGACTTAATATGTGGTTTAATTTAAACTGCACTTGGACACATTTCAAAAAATGCCTTCAACATCTATGATGGACCATTCTAACAAGCAAAAGCTACAAATGTTTTCATAATAAAAGTTTCAAGAAAAAAAAATCAAGAATTGCAATGAAAAAATTTAACTATAATCTAAACGTTTAAATCATTGTCATCGTAACAAATCACAATTACCGTAATATTAATAAAAATGCATACTAAAAGTTTTTTGAAAAAACAAAGTTTGAATTATCCTCTTAAAAGTGGTTCATTCATGCATTCTTCTGATACTGTACCTTAAGAATGTGGACATAGGGGACGCCATTGGGCCCATACTGGCTTCCATTCACCTCGATGTGTTTGAGCCACTGGATGTGTGGCTGAGCATCACTATACACCTTACAGTGGAACTCGACATCACTGCCCACCACCACCGTCTGATTGGCCGGGAGTCCCACCTGTAGGATGGGCCGGTGAGGAGAGCGTTCTGATTGGACGAGAGATGGCGAGACGGAGGGCAGTCAGCAATGAAGGTAAGTGATTTAAAGTTTGAATGTGTGTGGGTTGCGTGTTCATACCCAGCACGTCGAGTTGGTAAGTGTGTTTGATTATCCCGTATTTGTTTTGCACCACACATGTGTAGTTTCCCCGGTCAGATGGAACGGCACTCTCCATGACCAAACTCCACTGCTGATGCCTCAACTAGAGAGAGAGGATGATAGAGACAGAGTCTCTAAATTCTGTGTCTGTATAATGTTATGACTATGATCAATTGTGCTGATAAATCTGAATTGAAGTTGAATTAAGGTTCCAAACAGGACAATTTGAATGTAAGCAAACAGAATTTAAATGAATTGAAATACATACACTGGAATTTTTAACTAGAAGAGCAAAGTTTGTCAAGACTATCGTTGAATGTTTGCTATACACTGGTTTGTTTAAAAGAGAGACAGACAGACAGACAGACAGAGATAGATAAGATAGATAGATAGATAGATAGATAGATAGATAGACATGCCTACTTTTGTGTTTCACTGGGAAAAGCATACAGAGAACAACACAAGGATGTGAAAATAATAACACACTTATTTATTTTTAGGTTTATTTTGGAATACCTTTAACATCACCAGACATGGAAAGTATGCTAATTGGTCAGAAAGTAAAAAAAAGTAAAAAAAATCATTTTGTTTACACAAACCCTTCACCTCCTACACACATACACACACACACACACACATATATATATGCATGCATACACACACACACACACACACACACACACACACACACACACAAAAGAAAGTCGCCTTTGCCTTTGTATTTCATCTGAATGTTTCTTTGGCCCGGGTTCAGATTGTTTAGTGTACTTGGTTCCAGTAAATCTATTGATTGTAAGGCCTCTCAGAACAATAGCTTGGCAGATCCCAGAGGTTTATTCATCTGAAGTGAGTCACGATTGATGTGAAGTATCTGTGGCATTATTTGTACTGATGATGAAGTTATCAGTCGTCATACACACACACACACACACACACACACACACATAACCATCCATTCATTCATAGAGCACACTCTAATTGCATATATGTCTCTCCCTCTGCTTCTTTCTGTTTCTCTTGCACTCTGTGTCTCTCTCTCATTCCTCCTCGACATACTTCGAAGGTCTGCGTGGAAAAAAATGTAACTGTGTAAATATTATGGGCTGTGTTTTTGAACAGTTGCATGGTAACACTGCCTGATAACAACATGCACATAGACAAACACACATGCCTAAGAAAGTTGGCAAGGGCGCCTGTGCCCCCTGCACTTCTCCTTCCCCTTGTCTTCGAGATCCTCACCTTCTCACAGGCTGCTCTCGCTGGCTCGCTCTCACTCAGTGAGGCTTCGGTGTTTGCTGATTTACACGGTGAACAGCATGAGAAATGTGTGTGTGTGAGTGAATGTCTGTATAGGAGTAGTTGACATTTAATGTGTCCATTGACTTTTTAAAATCAAGATTTTAGGTTCAAATTAATGTAAATGTGTGAGGGAAATTGTATTGTATTGCCTTGTAACTAGTGATCATTTCTTTTAAACACCTTTATGCTAAGTAGTTCATTCTAAATAATCCTGAGACTTATTATTTTTTAAAAGCACAAATATTTAATGTAGTCTCTCAACCAATAAGATGTCATAGAGACTACATAAAAATAAATAAATAAAACTAGCCAAATGCTTTTCAGAATAGTTTTAATATTATATTATATTATATTATTTTTTTTATTATATTAATTTTTATTTTATTTTTTAAATTATATTATTATAATTTTTTTTTTTATTGTTGGTTGAGCAACTTTAGACTAAAGGAAATAAATATTACTCTGAGCTATACATCAACTCAGCTCAGCTCCCCTTTCAGTGAAATCCTAGATTCGCCTTGTTAACTTCCCAAAAGTATTAATGTCAACTACCCATGTGCAGTGAGACTGTAAGAGAGCGTGAGTTAATTTAGGACCCTATCTTACTTGACACTGGCATTTTGTGTGTGTGTGTGTGTGTATGACATTTATCTCAGTGTGTCTGCTGAAAAGAAATGCTGTGATGAATTCTCAGCTGTTCCTCAATCTACCCGAGCACTTTATCCAGAGGGAATGGGAGGAGAGAGTTAGTACATTTATCCCATCCTTCATCAAAAGATAAGAGCTGAAAAGTGTTGCAATGTCGTGCTGGACCCCAATGATTCAGAGAAAAAACAGCACAAGAAAGACCCAAGCAGAGGTCTGATAATCAGTCGAAAAGCGCTGCTCAAATTCCTCCCGGCATTACGCTGTTAACATATTAAGCCTCTTTAACTCTGATGTCAGACTGGGGTTAGGAGGTAAGACCAGTGCGGTGGATATTCAGCTGAATTGTGAACTGCAGAGAATATTGGGAGTAAAGGGTCTCCGGGGGTGCCAAGAAGCTCAGGTCTCTCTTGAGTGTGTATGTTCAGGATTTATGGTTGTGTCAAAACGGTGCGAGCTCGTTCCAATAGTGGTGCTGTTTAATTTGACCCACGGAGACAGGAAGCAAAAACAACTGACCCCAGGGCGAGTCATTAAAATGACAAAACTCTTTCTTTTTTCTCTCTCTCAATGGAAAGTAGTACAGTAGTCTCACTGGAAACACCCTGTTTCACCATTAAAACAAGCCATCAATACTGTACAGATGGCCCATAATCATACACACCCTAATATGAAAGTTTTCTCAGTTCATATTGATAAAGATAACTATTACCACTTAAAGGTGAAGTGTATTTAGTGGTCACTAGCGGCAGAAAACTGAATAAAAAAAAAAATTCAAACAGGTTTCACAAAAAATTGTTGGTTGAGAGTTTTGTTTGTGCCCGTTTTCTAGACATGCAGAGCAGAATAATGTATTCTTATTTGTTTCTGAGTTTTATATGTAAACTTATCTGTATTTATTACTTTTTCCACACCAGTCTATCATTGTGGTATCAATATAAACGCACCCTAAACAACAACTGGTCATTTGTTGTTTTGTCAGTCAGATAGAAATGCAGTTATTTCAATAGGAATCCACATGACTGGAAATTATGCATTAAGGTAAAACATTTCCCTATGCAGATTTCAGATTGGATTCAAGATGGTTAAGCAAATTGGCAGTGCTGACCAACAGAAAGCTGATCAGTTTACTTCTTAGCTTACTTCTGTGTAAACTGTACTTCATATACTGCTACGCTATCGACAAAGGACCTTTATTGCCCACAAATGCCCAAAAAGCTTTATTGGAAAGAAGCTGCAAAGTGGACTAGCCTTATGTTAACAGCAAAAAATCAGGCTACATGAGAATAGTGAACATTAAATACTTGACCTTTAAACATATTTTTTACACATAAATTAATAACAAATTGCACCTAAGCAGTTAATAAAGACATACACTGCTGTGGCCTACAGACAAAAGGCACATTTGTCGGTGGATTAGATTAACTGATGCTCCAAGCATGTAGAATTTAGCACTGGTGGTCCCACAGAGCAGTGCGACTGAAATTGAGTCATCTCTCGGAGGATGCAACAGTCTTTCTTCACCTCGCTCGTCAATTGAGCTGTTGAATATGTTGCGAGCCGCTTGCATACACGCACTCAAACGCAGCGTTTACACAAAAAATCAATGTGTATGTGTGCGTGAGGTGTGACTAACCCACAGTACCACAGATTAGCATTCTAACAATGTGACTTCGGCTGCCGTATGTGAGCATGACAAAAGCCACGCCTCCCCCTGCCAATCAAGGTCTCTAAATCGCCACAACAACACCTTCTCAGAACCTCCCCCTTCTGATGACTCAATAGAGAGTTGACCTTTGACCTTAGAACCCTGCCAGTCAGGCACAGAAATTTGTGTCTGTTTGTATGTGTGTGTTTGTGCTGTGGGAAAGTCAACTCATCTCTCGGAGGATGTAACAGTCTTTCTTCACCTCGCTCGTCAATTGAGCTGTTGAATATGTTGCGAGCCGCTCGCATACACGCACTCAAACGCAGCGTTTACACAAAAAATCAATGTGTATGTGTGCGTGAGGTGTGACTAACCCACAGTACCACAGATTAGCATTCTAACAATGTGACTTCGGCTGCCGTATGTGAGCATGACAAAAGCCACGCCTCCCCCTGCCAATCAAGGTCTCTAAATCGCCACAACAACACCTTCTCAGAACCTCCCCCTTCTGATGACTCAATAGAGAGTTGACCTTTGACCTTAGAACCCTGCCAGTCAGGCACAGAAATTTGTGTCTGTTTGTATGTGTGTGTTTGTGCTGTGGGAAAGTCAACTGTCTAAACAAAGCCATGCATCGTTTCAAACAATGAGAGTACGGCATGTGACTCATTTTCTTGCATTTAAAACTCATTCGGCAATCTTACCGCATTTAGTCAGCAATTAACGTGCCCTGACCGTCGGCCAGAGAGTTAGTCGAACTTACAACCGGCTCCAGTGCCAACAGAAACATAATCACAGCATTATTGTTCCCCTTGCAATGCAAAAAAGAGCTTTAAGATGATATACGCTGATCTCTCAGGGAACTCCTCATGTTTAATTTCGCATAACGCTCTGCATTTTAACACATCGTTGAGTGCGTTATCAAGCCATCAGGCCTGTCATATCCACACACACAAGGGGGTCACACATCCTTTTGCATAAATATAAGAGCAGTGACTTTTAGCCTGGGTCTTAATAGAGACAGAAGACATTCAGGGTGAGCTGTCAAGCTCCTGTGTATGTGTGTGTTAAATAAAACTATTATGATGCTGTCAGAGATCTTTATGCCACAGCATTATTGTTCCCCTTGCAATGCAAAAAAGAGCTTTAAGATGGAATACGCTGATCTCTCAGGGAACTCCTCATGTTTAATTTCGCATAACGCTCTGCATTTTAACACATCGTTGAGTGCGTTATCAAGCCATCAGGCCTGTCATATCCACACACACAAGGGGGTCACACATCCTTTTGCATAAATATAAGAGCAGTGACTTTTAGCCTGGGTCTTAATAGAGACAGAAGACATTCAGGGTGAGCTGTCAAGCTCCTGTGTATGTGTGTGTTAAATAAAACTATTATGATGCTGTCAGAGATCTTTATGCGAACAGTGACTGTGCTGATGCAGAGGACAGGGCTGGTATAAAGGATGACCCTGGGTCAGTGCGGACCCCTGGTGTGTGTATACGTGTGTGTGTTTGTAAGGGCGGGCCGGTCACACTATGGCCATGGAGAGGTGGAGAGGTCAATGTTTTGTTTCTAAATGTCTCTCTTAGAGGACTCTGGTTATATTATATGCATACAGGTCAATGCAATGCAATGCTGTGTTAAAGAATCTAAATGTGCAAATGTGTGTGTGCAAAAAGAAGTCACTCAGAAGATTCCAGTTGTGCTTTAAGTGTTGAATTTGTTTCAGGTGTTTCTCCTAAAATTCTGTTTAATTTAGAAACAAATTGTTGACATACAATGAGAGTATAGAGGTATAAAATAAATGTGGATAGCAAAGCTTAGAATATTTGGTCTGGGAAGAACTTTATGAGTAATACTTTATATTGAGCTCTTTTGATTTCAGACTTTCATATCTTTGCAAATCTGAGCACAGTTTGAGATCTCATCTGATGAGGGGATGTCTGAAATTACTGGTGTCTTTTAATCAGGAGAAAATTTTATAAAAGTCTTCAGTGAAAGTCTCAATTTGTTTTCAATTTCATCTCAAGGCTATCTACGAGAAATAACTGAGATATTAAAGACTAGGTGTAATTCATGATTTTTCCTTTCCAATAGGGAAAATGTGTGCCTCTTCAGGAAAATTGTGTTTAATAATGCTATTATTTAGGCCTATTATTTATTTTTTTATATAGCATTTAAAGGGGTAATTCACTGAAAAATCTAAATTCACAGAAAAGTCATGAACTCATGCTCACGTAGCTGCAAACCTGTATGACCTACTTTCTTCTGTGAAACATAAAAGAACCAAAAAGACAAACAAACAAACAAACAAAACAAAACAAATTATTTTTTGCTCCTGAGAAGAAAAAAGTCATACATGTTTGAAAGGAGAGTCAATGATGACAACAGTTTTATTTTTGGGTGAACTATCCCTTATATTGTGGTGGTTAAATCATTGAGCATTAAGGAGCAACAGCCCTGAGAGATGAAAAAAATGGCAATAATAAATAAAAATAATCTAAAAAATCAGTGGACAGTCTCCAAAACACGTTACAAACAACACCCGCACAAACGCATCAACACATAAATAGCAAGACCACACGGAACTTTGTGTTCTTCTGTTCTTTCAGAGGAACAGCAACAGGTGGACGTATCCTCTAAAGATGACGAGCAAATAAAATCCAGAGCGAGAGAGAGAGAGCTCTTTAAGGAGCAGATGTTGAGGATCTGTGTAAATTATTACTAATTGCAGATTCTTATTATCTGTAATCCTAAACACACAATCACATGTTTGCACATGCACACGCACATGTTCTTAATCGGTATTCATATTGTCTTACTTTAATCCCGCCCATTCTCTGCTCTCCCTTGAATTCCTTCCCATTTTTCAGCCAATGGATGGTGGGAGCGGGGTTGCCGGCAGCAGGACAGCGGAACTTCACTGTATTGGCAGCAGGAACAGCCAACAGTTTCTTCTCCATCCGGTCAGGACGGGTCCAGTATGGAGCTTTTGTTAGAAATATAAGAATAAAATCAGATGCTGCTGAAAATATCAACTAAACATGACATTTTAAAAATACACAAAAACATGTCAGTGTACAATACATGAATCCATAGGCACAAATGGACCACATATAAGTGTATGTTGACATGAAGCACTATTTTTTAGGGGGTAGGGTTCCCTCTCCATTAAAATTCCCTCTCCAGGAGTCTTTGTGTGGGTGAATGTTTATGGAAAGATTTTTCTTGCTCGCTCTGTGGCAGCGTCAGACTGGCTGCCTAATTCCCAGACTGAATTAAAATTTGTTTGGAAAAGCAAACAAGCTTACATACACTCTTACGTGAGTGTGAGGCGCGTTTATGCTCTTGCAGACAGAACTCTGAAAGATTCCCAGTGTTAAATCCTTCACAGAGCCGTGAACACACAATGAGGATTCCTAATAATAACTTATTATAATAACAGAGCAATTTTCCTTCATTTAATCTTCCCACAAATTCAGTTTATAATGTTGACTGTCATGTGGTCAGGTCTGTGTTTACGCTTCCTAGCAGCTAATGCCAAATATCACAGCATAAATACTTACAGTAACATCCTTTAGCTAAAATAATAGTCATTATTTTAATTTTCAATTCAAGTCTTGAACATTGTGTGCGTATGTGTCTTTAAGAGATTGAGTAAACATACTTTCATCCCTCTTCAAACAATTAACTCCAGATCAGATCAACCCGCAAACTTGGCGATTAAACCCACAGACGCCACATTTCGCTCCAGACATACATGCGAGCTCACAAGCACACGTGAGAATGTGCGCACACACAATAAACCCATTAACTAGATTAATTATTTGCTCATGCTATCAGATTGTGAATGTAAAGGGGGATTGGCAGGTTGGCATTTCCTTTGGCATAACCGATACACTAATTCCTGTACACACACACACACACACACACACACACTCCTAGTTTTCACTGCATTCTCAGATGGTCAGTGATCCATCAGGACCACAACATGGGTCTGTACCATACAGTGGACCTGGCTCCTATATGTGTGTTTGTGTGTGTGTGTGTGTGGTTTGCCATTTTATAGAGTTCAGTACAGACAATTTGAGCTTTGAAGTGGGAACCTCGAATCTACAGTGACCCACCTTTTTTTTCCATTTACTTTTATTCTACTGCCAAAAAAGCCATCAAAGTACAGCGCAACTCTACACAGCTGAAATTACGCACAGCTTGCTTCAGTCAGCCAAACTGAGAGCAGTAACTAGCACTGCATCATTAAGATATTACAGAATGATGTCATCAGATGTCACACGACCTCAGCTCTTCTCAAATGTTCCAGAGAGCCCAGACCTCACAGCTCTCAGCTCTCTCTCTCGCTCTCTCTCTCTTTCTTAATTAGAGCTGGATTACTGGTCATTATACTCTAAAGGGGTTTTGGTTTTTGCCTAATCCCTCGTTTCATGCCCTCCCCTCAACCCCTCAACCCTCCCCCAACCCTGATCCCACCACAGCAGACAGATGCATTAGCTTTCCCTTCCCTCTCTCTTTCTTTCTTTGTGAAAAATCACAAAAAAACATGATCTCTTTCAAATCTCAGTTGTTTCTCCTACAAAGCAACGAGATTAAATAAAGATAAAATTGAAAAAAGTTTTCTGAATCTCAGATTGTTCTCCCTCAGAAAAAGATGCCACTAATCCTGTATCATGTATAGTTTCAAATGAGATTCAGCATTATTTTTGTACTATAATTTTATTTACTTATATTTTCAATTGGATTTTTTTTGTTTTCATTTTTTATTTAAATTTAAGATTAAAGCTGCAGTCCATAAATTTTGCCTCTTTGTCGCCATCTCTGTTTGAAAACCTGCAATTGCAGCTGTTTGTGGAATTATCTTCCTTGCGTGGGTTGTGCGCCGGCACGGCTCCAGCACGGATGAATCTAATGTTCTGAAGAGTATGTGTGGCAGTCAGTCACCGCACCGGTGTGGATATACTGTAAGTCGCAATCACAGATTTTAGCCTACGTCTTGGAATATATGACCCAAATAAGATTCTCAAATTATTAATGTTAACAATATCAGCATTGTCTATAGTGTGTATTAGCATGTAGATTTCAATTTATGTACAGTCTAATCTCTAATTGTCATACCATTCGAATTTCATATTAAGAAATTCTTTTAACCCAAAAAGCAAATTATGCTCCCTTTGAACTGGTTTTCTTTAAAATACAAATCTTGTGTAATCCCAG